GAAGGGTCTGTGATGTCATATCTAGTTTGGAATTGGTGAGGGTGCTCTCCACACACCTTTCAGCAGTCCCGGCCAGTAGAGATAAGGTGCTTGCAGTAACTCCCACGGATGGCACCGTGTAATGCACAAAGTAGATCAGATTGATTTCAAATAGATAAGTCCTTTTTATTGGACATACGTGTCACAATAGTCAAACAGCCAACGTTTCGGGGCCACGCAGGGTCCCTTCCTCAGGGCAAAAGATGTGATGGTGTCCACATACCACATATATACCCCATGATGTGAACCAATTATCAATAGTTTTAAAAATGGCGTTTTTCCCGCCATTCTGACATCACTGGGGAGGTGTCTATTGATTGGTTCACATCATGGGGTATATATGTGGTGTGTGGACACCATCACATTGTCACATTTTGCCCTGAGGAAGGGACCCTGCGTGGCCCCGAAACGTCGGCTGTTTGACTATTGTGACACGTATGTCCAATAAAAAGGACTTATCTATTTGAAATCAATCTGAGTGCTGGTAACCTATTCTTTCTACATATCTAGTTTGGATTTTTTTTAAATTTATTTAGCCATGCCCAGCAGCTGAGAGGAGGGCACGGACATCAAATCCTTGCTATTTGAATAGCCTGCTAATCTATTTGGGCAGGCGTAGATGGGCATGACAGACAGTCGGTTGATTGACAAACCCTTGTTGTTGGTGGGTGCGACAGACCGGCAGTTTGTGCAGCCTGGGCTGTCCCACTGTAGGTAGAAACTTGATAGATGTAGGTGGCCACAGATGGAGGGAATAGTGGCCACCAATCTTGTGAAAAGGAAATCGGGGGGTAGAGGGGGGGCAGCAAGCCCTAGTAATGAGAAGTGAATTATTCAATGACTGCTGCAGCAATTTGATTGTTCATGAACATAACTAATAGCTTTTACGAAGCAATTTGAAAGCTTTACAATCATTAAGCAAATGCCTGTTTAGAATTAGCCCAAGTGTTATTCTCGTGATTCATCATCTAAATGTTGCAGTTGAAATCTTTTTTTTTTTTCTTCCACATATGCAGTGTAGTGCACTTGCTGTCCAGAGCAATTTCTTACTATTTGCGCACATGATAAAATATAGATGTTTGGCTAGAATACGGCTCCAGACCCCCAAGCGACGATATTTTCTGAAAGCAGAGGCCATGTAGACTAAAATAATGCTAGTTGCAATTTTTTATGTAGTACGGTATTTGTGCAAATGTTTATCAAACCAATATTTTTAGGATGAACTAAATTCAAATTTAGTGCACAGAATAATGTGCACAGAATAATATACCAATTTTTTGGGTAAAATATGAAAGATGGGGTCACGCCGGGTAATTGGATACCAAACCTGTCAAGCCTTAAAACTGCGTTCACCTGTGAAGCCACAAAAAACTTCAATACCTAAAATTTCCCATATGGAACACTTCCTAAACGCTTTACCGCTCATCAGTTTAGTGCCAACAGTGACTGATGGGCCTAGAATTATTGCTCTCACTCTGACGTTCGCGGCGACATGTAACGTGTAGCGCAATGTCCTTTTCGCATATAGGCGCACCGACACGTTTTTGTGTGCAAGTAGGGGGCGGGGGACTATTTATTTTTTACTTACACTAACCTTATTGCTATCGCATGGGGGGGCTAACAAGCCCCCTATGTAATAGCAAATACTGTGTGACAGGTCGCCCTTTATGGCGACATCGGGGGTCTTTCAGACCCCCCCTAATGCTACCTAGGGACCCCAAAGTAGCTGAGGAAGCAGAGATCTGCTTCTCCTGGCTCTAAAAGCTGAAGAGTGTAAATAGTGACACTGGAAGTGATGTAATACACATCACTTTCGGGTCCAGTGATCGGTGGACAAATCAGCGGTTGGGGGGCTGTGTAGACGCCGGATCACTTGTACATAAACAACCATCGCTGGCTGTTTAAAAAAGATGCCAGCCAGTGTTTTACCCACTTCTGCTGGCCTTTTTAAACTTAACTTGATTGCTATCACATAAAGGGATGAAAAACCCCCTATGTGATAGCCAATATACAATGGCAGTCCTCATTATGGAGACATCAGGGGATGCAAGGGGTTAAAGGGTAATTCCACATTACTAGGTACATTTTGGGAAAATGGGACTACCCCTTCCCCAAAGGTATACTTGCCTTTCAGCGAATACTCCTTGTTGTCCTTCGGTACAGGTGTACTATCAGCCTTGTGCTCGATTTTGAATTTTGCTTTCAAATGGTAATATTTAAAGATATATTAAACAGTTTTAAGAGTCTCAGTAAAGGGCACAACTGAAACTCTCCACATACTTGGAACCTGAAGATGGCAGGTCCTAACAATTGGCCCCTATTGCTCTGGTATGCCTGAGGTGGATCATATGTTTTAGTGTAACACTTACAGGTGTTTTACCTTTTCAGAGCTCACAGTATCCCCTTGCAATGCTGTTTTTCCAGAAGGATAGATCTGTTGGGCATAATTAAGAAGCAAAAATCTGTTTTACTGGACTAAATTGCTGGTTTAGGGATTCGGTTATGTAACGCTCCATTCACATATAGTGTTTGCGTTTTCCGCGTGGCAACGCAAACGCTAAATGCTTTCAGCTGCACAGATTCCCCTTGTTTGCAGCTATTTTATATAGTCGCAAAAGTGTGGATCTGTCAATAGATTGAGCTTGGTCTATTTTGAGGGCTGCATGGCTGCCCCAAAAGCCTGAACAGTGCACATTAAAGTGCATTGTTCCGTGTATTAGTCCGGCATGTAAATAAAACCTTAAAGGAGAAATATGGGGTTAAGGCTTTTCCCCATTGTTCTCCTTAGGGTAACGGGAGGACACAGACTAGCGTCCTCCCGTCACCCTAAGCTCAGTATTCCGCGAGCTAAAGCTCGTGGTATATTGAGACGCCACAGTATACCGCGAACTACTGCTCGTGGTATTCTGCGACGCCGCAGCTGTACCCGCCCCCTCCCCCGTCCGATCCGCTAGTAAGCGCTGGCGGGGAGGGGGGAAATCAGCTCCTCCCCTGTCACGGCAGAGAGCTGTGACAGGATCGGGAGGTGAGCGAACGCCGGTATGTGTTCGCTCACTTCCCGATCTACTGAGCCAACCTGTGACAGTCTCATTGTCACAGGTCGGCTAGAACTATGAGGTGAGTGAACCTCATAGTTCTCCTTTTAATCCTGATGCCTGTGTTGGACACATTAGCTGCCTGCTGTAGCTTCTTATTTTGTGGTGTTACAAATTAACAATGCTGCAGTCATATCGCTGGTGAAAGGGAAGCTAAGGTAATGGGTTTTCCTGCTTGTAGCAGACTAATGGCATCTAAATCTAGAAAACAATTGAGGCTTAAAGGGTTATTTGAAGCCTTGAGTGTCTTTGCATAGATCTACTGCTAGCAAGCAGCAAGTATATGCAAAAACATTAAAAGAAACCCCCAACCTTTTCAAAAGTGTTAAAACTTACCTGCTTCTCCGCTGTGTGCTCCCATCCAAACATCTGAAGATTCTCGGGTGGCCACAATGGATCTTGGGGCGGGAGCATGCGCAGTTCAGATCTTCGAGGGGAGAGACCAGGTAAGTCAATGCAGCAGTGTGCACCTGCAGACACCGTGGGACAGGAAGTGGCAGTGAAGAGAGAGGAGTCAGTGCTGGATTGGAGACCGGAACCAACGCTGGAGGGACTCCTGAAAACTACAGGAAAGAACAAGATCAGATGAAGAGGCATCATTCCCCTTCATAACCAGTGACATACAGTGTACGTCACTGGTCCCGTTTTTAAACAGAAAGCCGCCGGGACTCTGTTTACATTTTGTAGAGCCGACTGTCGGCTCCGAAGCCCAGCAATAAGCTATTGAATTGTGATCTGCCCTTCAATAGCTTATTTGAAGTTTAAAGGTGATACTAGGGGTCTTGGACCTCCAGTATCGCCTTAAAGAGCACCTGTCACTGCCAATATCACATGGGATAGCAAAGTAAAAAAAGTTTTTGTTTTTTTTAATCTTAAAATTTAAATAAAATGTAAAAAAAATAAGTGTGTAATTTTTTTTTTTTTTTTTTGTCCCCCACAAGTACGCGCGTCTTCACAAACACACGTCGGGGGTGCATACATATGAAACCGACAATTGCGCTACACATGTTGGGAGTGAAAGCAATAATTCTAGGGCCAATATTTATGCGCATCTCTAAACTGATGACCTATGGGGGCTTTTAAAGCGTCGTCTATGGACTTTTTGGGGTACTGAATTTTGTCGGTTTCACAGACTCACACAATTTGTAACCTGGGTATCGATTTACTTGTAACCGCCTCTTTTATATTTTATTAAACCACGAGTATTTTTATTGTGTTTTGGGGCATTTAAGTGCATTTTCACTAAATTTTGGGGATGGTGAAGGAGTTGCGCTAATATCGTGCAACATGAAGAATTTGCAACGGCCAGAATTTTATTCTATAGGTTTTTGGCTTTCTGAAAATATAAATGTTTCGTTTTTTTAAGTAATTTCCTAAAATGTGGATTATAACATGTAAGCAAAAATTTTTTAGAAAAGGGCCTTGCTCCATGAAGGGGTTAAGGTAAGTCCTTACACTAGCATGGGGAGGGGGAATTTATCCTTTTTAATGTCACTTTTAAGGCAGCTTGTTGGGTTGTGACAGGATCGAGAGGTGAGCGAACCCGGTATGTGTTCGCTCACCTCCCGATCTACTGAGCCGACCTGTGACAGTCTCATTGTCACAGGTCGGCTAGAACTATGAGGTGAGTGGAAATCACTCATCTCATAGTTCTCCTTTTTAATGAAGATTTGTAACATTACCGAAGTCTCATCTTTAACTGGTTAAAATGGGTATTTGTCTTTTTCTAACCTGGTTTTCTTTGAATTGGATTTTTTACTGGCGCTTTCTAATTTTAACAAATTTTACGTTTCTGCATTATTATAGCTTTATTAAAAATAAAAACAAAAAGGTCATGAGAATCATTCCTAACTTCTTGCTTTTTAGCTCTGAGACCATTAAAGGAGCAGTTATTGGAATCGATCTGGGAACCACAAACTCCTGTGTTGCTGTTATGGAGGGAAAGCTGGCAAAGGTAAGTTTAATGAAACTTTGTTATAGGATATTACTTTTGACCCTTATGCTGCATGCTCACACCCATTCAATAAATCAATGCGAATTTCTAATGACTGCAAGATGTTCCTTGGTATATAAAAGTTGTTAAAAGGGGGTGTGGCCAGGATATGAGCCGTGCGGACGTGCTTTGGCTCTTATCCGATCCTTTTATCCTGCTCTTCAGCCTGTCTAACCGTCCTTCCTCACTCAGCCACGACCGTAGGTTCCGAGCACCGCTACTTGGCTAATGCCTTCTGGACGGCGCTCCGAGCATACCTGGCCGGGCAGCAGGTGTCGCTGTTCTTCTCCCGCCACATGCAGCGGTGCTATCTTGGCTGCGTGCTCTGCCTCTTACCTCCATTGCCACACAGACCTCTGATTGGAAAAATTTAAACGAGTGTGGACAGGATCGCTGCTGCTCCTTTCCTACAAGTGATCTATTCGAATCACTTGTATTAAAACTATACACTACACGTTTACCTCTGCTTGTCAGGAGCAGGGCTAAATGTACAAAAAAAAAACTACTCGCCCGGCCCCTGAAACTGCATGTCCAGGGTGTCGGGCGATAGGATTCCCTCAGCTCTAACACATTCGCTCCATAAGACGCACTGACATTTTTGCCTTATGGGGGGAAGTGCGTCTTATGGAGTGAAAAATACGATGCTTACCTTTTTATTTGCTATTGGTGCTAAGGGGCAATCTGATTCTTTTATGTTGGTTTCTTGCTTGTTTTGTTGCTTTTGAGGGAAAGGGGGTGGTTACCTGTTCTCATGTATAGCTGAAATGTAATTAACATATACAGTCCTTGCTCCATTTGTAATAAAAAATTAAGTTTTAAAAAGCAAGTTTATTTACTGAATAAGCTGTACTTTTTATTTCAAGCATAATAGTTTTATCTACACTGCATTTTAGGTACCTAGTGTAACAAAATAACTTTCAATTTGTACAAATACTTCACAGTGAATTTATTTTATTTTTTTCAATTCTTCCAAAAATGTCTTTTTTCCGTGGGGAAATATAAGGGGGAAACTTTTTTTTTTTTTTTTCCCCTCATGGCTTTAAAATTTCTGGAAATGTTATATCTCTAATATGGGCTCATTTGACAGGACCTGGACAAAATCCAGGGTCACCTCACTTGGACGGAGTCTTGATTGGGATCCCTGGAGGATACATCCATGGGACTTTCTCAAACCTAATAACTGTACGGTAAAATATTGAGCATGAAGTCTGAGGATGCCAAGAACAGGCTTTGCCAGAACAACGTTTTGGTGGGATTGCCGGAAGGTCTAGAAGGATCTGATCCGGCTACTTTTGCTGAGCTATTCAAACAACTCCTGGATCTGCATATCGGTTTCATCTGCCTGCATAAAGGCTTGAAATGTAGCATGCATTACACTAGTAAATTGAGAGTGCAATTTGAAGGATCCACAACATTCTTTCACATAGTCGGCTTCTTCTGACTGGCTGGTCTCTTTCCGCTAATTCATTGTAGTTTGTTTTATTAGTCTGCATTGTCTGACCTTAAAGGAGAACTATGGGGTCAGGGGTTTTCCCCATAGTTCTCTTTAGGGTAACGGGAGGACACAAACTAGCATCCTCCCATCACCCTAAGCTCTGTATACCGCGAGCTACAGCTCGCAGTATACTGAGACGCCGGAGCGGATCCTGACATCGATGTCGAGATCCGCCCAGCTGTGTGAGTGACAGCTGGCTCTGCCTATCTAGAGGCAGAGCCAGCTGTACCCTCCCCTGTCCGTTCCGCCAGTCAGCGCTGGCAGGGAGGGGGGAATCCATCCCCTCCCCTGTCATGGCAGAGAGCCGTGACAGGATCGAGAAGTGAGCGAACACTGGCATGTGTTGGCTCACCTCCCGATCTACTGAACCGACCTCTGACAGTCTCATTGTCACAGGTCGGCTAGAACTATGAGGTGAGTGAAAAGCACTCACCTCATAGTTCTCCTTTTTTAACCTGTAAATTTATACAAAGTTCTGGCATTATGGCACATTTGTGGCATTTTGAAGGGGAGGTGGTAAAGGACTCCTATCGCCTTGGTGGTTTTTTACTGTTTCTCTGTGTAAAGTGGCCTATTAGGTTTACTGCCTAATTTAACTCCTTGGTTGGGCTGGGCGTTCATTTTAAATTGCTGGTGGTGGAGCTTACCCTTGTAGGGAACTGCAGAGGGTACGTTTTTAGAATGTTTTAGGGCCGAAACAGCTAATCGGTAATATACTTTCCCCGTCTTCCAGAACAGCTTGCGAGAGGCTTCTCCCTTTTTAGAAGGAAACGCGTCCCCCCACCCCACAATAGTTTTAAAAGGTCCGCCTCTCCTTTAGCTCCTCAGGTTTTTTGTATTGCCTCAATCAGTGAGGGCACATCACCAGAACGGTGAGGGAGCCCCTCTGAGGTATGCAGATTTTTCCCTCCAGGTTTTTCTGTTTTTAGGGCCCTAAAAAAACCACCTGCTATGGTGGTAAAGTCATAAAGGCCTTTCACGGCCAACGGTGCCGGGACATGTGCTACCCCCTTGGCTGATCTCCCAGGCCGTGCGGCTCGTTAGTTAGGGGGCGCCGGTCTGAGTTCCGGGAGTCTCTCCACGGCCGGGCCGAATGACCGAGTAGGTCACTTCTGTTGCGGGTGACAAGTTCCGGGGGCCTTGCGGTTTCAGGCCTCATTTCCGGCGCAGAGGAAGGGGGAGAGCGCCTGGCTAAATGCAGACTGCATGATTACCTGACTGAAATAGCACTGGTGGGGGAGCTGCTTTCTCCACAAAATGGATCCTGTAACTCCTGCAAACTACGCAGACGGATTCAGGTCCTGCTGGCACCAGCTCTGCTCAGGTAGGTGGATGTATTCATACTTCCTCCCTGTAGTTCTGACTATATTTTCCTCCACCTGGGGCTCCTTGGTGCTGGGCTTATGGTGTTGAGGGGGCACTTTAGTTTAGGGGTACCTTTCTTTTAAAGAAGGGATAGCAGAGGGTAATTTCTCGAACTGTGTTACAGGTTAAAATTTCTAAGGCCAAGGTGGTCCATAAGAAGACGTGTGCAGTTTGCTCCTCAAAACTTGGTTCTGATTGGAAAAAGCCTCTGTCAGAAGTGCATTGAAGGGGTGTGCAGGTATGAGTACACCTCAGCATGTAGTAGCCTGTTATCTACGGTCAGGGAATCCCTTCCTTCATTCAATTCAAGGAACAGCTTCAAAAAAAATTAGGTGAGAGACATGCAGATCAACTCAGAAGAAATAAACACCCTGAAATCTCAACATAGGTCTGCCCTACAGGAAATGCAATTGAAGATCCAACAACTACAAGAGGAAAATATCCAGCAGAGAGAAGATAACAAAACTTAAAACACAAACCTATCAACCAGGAGAAAGAATAAAAAAGGATGTATATAGACAAAGTGCCTGACAACGAACAAGAGACTAATAAGACAGTGTCCACACATCAACAACACAGAGACCAGTGACAGCCAAAACAATCCACAAAATGCTCAACTTACGACCAGCCGGCCATCAAATCCAAGACAACAAACTCCTGAAATTGTAGTAATAATAATGGACTCAAATGGGAAGTACTTAAACACAAGAAGGCTCTTCCCAGGAAAGAAAGTCACCAAAATCCATTGAACAGACAATGGAAGTCCTCAACAATCTATACTTTAGGAACCCCAAACAAATCATCATACACACAGGTACGAACAACATCCAGACCCAACAGGAAGGCATTGCAGACAGTCACAACTAACAGACTGCACAGAAAAAATGTCTCCAATCCAAATTCAATCCTGGCTACTTCCAAGGAAGGACATACTGAACCATATCATGCAGAACATCAACACAGAACTTGTGGCTAAAACTAGATCAAAACCCAACATTTTCCTGGCCAAACATCCTTCCATAACCTCTGAACACCTCAACAAACAAGGGGTGAGTCACCTGGCAAGATAATTTAAAGACCTTGTACTGAACAGAACCCATATCCCAGAACCCGGCACAAACTAACCAACCACAGGAAGACCTCAAACCGCACCAATAAACGAAGACAAGAACACATTTAACCCAAGAACAGGACAAAGCAGATGGCAGGAATGGTGGAAACCACCCGCCCCAAGATGGACATCAAGACCTCCACAGAACAGAGACATGGAGGAGATACGGACCCTTCTCAGCACACTTTACAACAAATTAATGTGAATTGAACTCATAATGTAATACAATGACAACCATTCCAATCCCGATTGTCATGTAATATTGCTCATTACAAGGTATAACAACACAAAATGACATCACTATCAATCAGTAGCTGGAACATTCAGGGTCTGAATGCCTCCAGCCTTTGGATTCAAAGTAAAAGATCCAGACTTCAAACATAGACTGCACAACGTGGACATACAAATCCTGCTGGAAACATGGAGCCGGGCACAGGATGACTCACAAGCACCTATTGGCTACAGAGAATTTTCGGTGCCTGCCCAGAAGGATAAAAGCATCAAACTGTCGCCATTCAGGAGGGATATTAAAGAACTATGGGGTTCTATCTTTTTTTTTTTTTATGAATGCATTCCTTAGGCTAAATAAGTAAATTATGTAATGGTAAATGATGTCACTGGAGATCCCTGCTGATCGGATCCGATCAGCAGGGATCTCCACTGACATCATTTACCATATATGGACTTTCCGATTTGTAGTAAATGCTGGAGAGAGAGAGAG